TAAATAATAGTCACTGCTTAGTATTGAGAAAATCTCCATCTGTTCGAAGTCGTCTCAGTTCTGTGGCGTATACCGAATAGCTGTTCGCGGTACCACGAAAAGCTATTCAGTATAATATGAACAGCAACGGTCCGGGGCGGCAACTAGTCGTTCGCACGCATCAAACATCGTGTTGGTGTTGTTGGCCGAATGGGTTTGGTGCACTTAATTTCAGTCCTCAGTCCTGAATATTTACTTCCGCCTCTTTGGGTTCCAGGTCCCCCTCCTATTTATTTCTGCGACAGACCTGATAGGTGGTCATGCTACATTTAAGTATGGCTAAAAACCTATCCGATATGTGAAAGTCCGTTTTCGAGATCGGCGCAGCGTAGCTTCCCTTCGTCACAGAAATCACGCCGAAATCACCGTTGTGGCGTGTGAACAGAAGCTCTATTCGGTATGATTTTTGTGGCCGAGAAAAAAAGCAACTCGGTATAATTTGACTATAGCCGTAGAATCTGAAGGTCTCTATTGTTTTTAAGCTAAAAGACAATTAAACATAACAGCGGACAACTATTAGTCTTACGCTATTATCACACTGCACCGGATCGGTTTATCGTGTTGACATGAAAATGCCGCTCCGGCCTGCCTCTAAACACCTGCTTACACTACCACGAAGAATGGCACAGAGACCTATCCGATATATGACGATCAACCTTCGGCAAGATCGTGCGACCCATCTTCACTCCGTCATTATAGAAACCAATACAAAATCACCGTTTTTATGTGTGAAAAACCAGTGTTTGTCAGTGGAACTTGGATTCTGGATTACAATCGTTCGTGGGATTCCGAATTCCTTGAGGTGTATTCCCGATTCCAAAGCCCAGGATTCCAGATTTCACAGGCAAAAATTTCCTGGATTCAGGAATCAGGGTTCTCTATCATAGGGCGAAAAACACATTACCATACCGTAGAATCCCGGTTATAAGCCCTGGGCTTATACAATTTCGTAAGGGTTTTTGGGTGGGCCTATAATCGGGGGGGCTTATATCCCGGGGGGCTTATAATAGGGAGGAAAAAAACGTCTAAAAAATACGGTATGTCGCTAATTTACCGCCTAATTATTGTTAACTGTATACGGTACCCGGTATAACAGGGGTATAACCGGGAGGAAATTTCTATTAGCAGAGAGGTGGGCTTATAATCGGGTGGGCTTATATCCGGGGGGGCTTATAACCGGGAGGAAATTTCTATTAGCAGAGAGGTGGGCTTATAATCGGGGGGGCTTATAACCGGGGGGGCTTATAACCGGGATTCTACGGTATACAGAGGAAAGAAGGAAAAACAAAATAATAGACATACACCTCGGTAATCTATCTACGAAGAGAAGATTAAATACTTTCCAACATTCAACTAAATCGATTTTTAACATGCGTTGCAGAGTCGGCCAGCTGTTTGCTATGCACAGTTTTCATTTTTAATAATCTAAAGAGGGGGCTTGTTTTATTCATAAACAGTTAATATTACGGCAACTGTCATAAAAGGGACCTTCTGAATGGAAACATCTTTCGTCTCTAAATGCGCAGGGGCGGTCATAAATGCTAATTGCTTCAATATATTTTCTCAAAACTTCCGTGAATATGCTAGAAAGTTTAAATGCTAAACTTCCCTAAAACTTGTCAAACAAACCTTTTATTAAAACGTTCTGTTTAATTGTCGACTGAATTTGAACAAGACATTTGTGAGTTCACAAAACTTGCCAGTTGTTTCATTTAAGCATTTATTAACGTTTGGTCTTTCGTTTGGTCTTTGTCTTTCGCGAAGATCAAGGGTTTGATCTCGATATTCATACAACAGTTAAGAGATATTCTCTTTCAGTAAAAAAAGAAACCAAAATAATTTAAAAGAACTCCTCTTAACAGGGAATACAACCGTTTAGTAATAGTTGACACTACAGCTGCCCCCGATCTGTATTTGTCGGTCATATTGTAGCCTTAGTCTTTGTGTAAGCTCTTTGAAATACACCGATTCATATTGAACGTTTTCACACATAAAACATACAATAGGTGAAATGAAAGCGGGAAACGCAAGATTCCAAGCACTGAGTTAGGTCGATCATTACGTAACGTTGATCAAAACAAATATAAACACCCTCAGCTGGGCGTTTCGAGAATTTTTTCACACGCATTCTAGTCTAGTTTCAGCACAGAATTTCGGGAAATTTCTGTAATCGTCTACCCTACGAGCAGAGTCTACATTTTCGCGGTGTGAACTGCGGAGCGACAAGTACTGCTACACACTAACTTTAACTGTAAAAAAAAAAATTGATGTAGCCGCTGCTCGCAGGGTATAGAAATCATCCATCGATTCCTCGTTGCCCCTGTTTAAGGTGGCTCGATATAGTTTTTCAAGGTCAATACCTCCCAAGTTTGAGCGTAAACTGCGTCGTCATAAACAAGGATTTGGAAAAATTGACACCACAGTTGTATTAGATAAAGAAGAAAATTGGTTATGATCAGGGTTGCAATGACATCGGAGTTGTCATAGCAACGAAATGACGCCATTACCTATTTTACTTGCAGCAGTATTTCTCGGCACTGGGAACTGTTCTTCCAAAATCGTTTACTGGAGCTTTTACCTACGATAGCTGCCTCGATGTTCGTGAAGTTTAAGCGAAATCTGTAAGAGCGTTATCGAGATATTTTGGGATGAAGTTTTTTTGGTTAGAAATACGGTAAAAAATTGACAATCTTGATGTTCGACTGTTATCTGTACTAAACGAAGCGCTTTTGACATGCAATTTCACCTCATAGTAGTTTCAATCTTTTTAAAAACGTGTGTGAAAGATCATGGAGATACCTCCAGCCGATCGCTAGAAAGGAGGATTTGATTAGTATGTATCAAGGCGCTCTTGTTAGCGGTGATGTAAACATTTCGGTCTACTTTAACAAATTAGCGAATAATTTTTAAACCACTCGATAAATTTTTTAGAAAATTTAAGAATCTGGAGATTAACCCTCCTTTTATATGACCTCTTAGTTTCAAGATTATTGATATAATGTAAGGCAGTAAAATAAGGGCTTGAATTCGCTAACATTTTGTCAGAAATTTTGTGTTTACAAGTGAGAGCCTCTCATTATTCAGGGTATTGTCTCCAAGTTTCATATTTTCGTGCATAACAATAGCTAGCAGTTTTGCATATGTCAAATGCATTGTTAGTTACTGCTGTTCACGTGAAAATGAAACTTTGAGACAATACCCCTGAATAATAAGAGGCTCTCACTTGCAAAGACAAAATTTCTGACAAAATATTAGCGAATTGTAGCCTTTATTTTACTACCTTACAATATATCAATAATCTTGAAACTGTGAGGTCAAATAAAAGGACGGTTTATCTCAACACTCTTAAATTTTTAAGAAAACTTATCGAGCGGTTTAAAAATTATTCGCTAATTTGTTAAAGTAGACCGAAATGTTTACATTACGGCTAACAAGAGCGCCCCGATACGTACTAATCAAATCCTTCTTTCTAGCAACCGGCTGAAGGTATCTCCATGATCTTTCACACACGTTTTTAAAAAGATTGAAACTACTATGAGGTGAGATTGCATGTCAAAAGCGCTTCGTTTAGCACAGATAACAGTCGAACATCAAGATTGTCAATTTTTTACCGTATTTCTAACCAAAAAAACTTCATCCCAAAATATCTCGATAACGCTCTTACAGATTTCGCTTAAACTTCACGAACATTGAGGCAGCTATCGTAGGTAAAAGCTCCAGTAAACGATTTTGGAAGAACAGTTCCCAGTGCCGAGAAATACTGCTGCAAGTAAAATAGGTAATGGCGTCATTTCGTTGCTATGACAACTCCGATGTCATTGTAACCCTGATCATAACAAATTTTCATCTTTATCTAATACAACTGTGGTGTTAATTTTTCCAAATTTTTGTTTATGGCGACGTAGTTTACGCTCAAACTTGGGAGATATTGACCCTGAAAAACTGTATCGAGCCACCTTAAGCAAATCGAGGTTTTTTCTGGTATACTAACTGCATGTTGTAACTGTAAGTACTTTCCTATATATACGCGCGTGCTACTAGGATATGTACTTGTAATATCAGGGCAGATCCTTGAATTGCGTAATATTCTTTTCATTTCAAATTTAATAAAAGGCACCCAACAAGTGCATGTGTTACGCCGATAAACTTTTTTTTGAAGGAGAGAACTCACTAAGCGTTTTAAAGTAAAAAACGGCTTTATTCCAAAAGATCCGCATTAAACAGTGAAACAAAAATTGGCAGCTAAGATAAAGTTTCAATCGCAATGATATTCGGCTTTTAAATATTAATAAAAATATGCCAAACTAAAAACATCCACTAAATTGAAGTTAGGTAAAATGTCAGTTTGAAATTAATTGAGTCTGCTCATATTATAATGCTGCTCAAACTCCAACTAAACAAGACGCATAGTCCAAGTACAATGACAAAAACTAAAACATGATAATTTTTTTATAATATATTTTAATTCTCAGTTTTTGCGGGAGATATTTAACAAGAAAGCTTCAAAACGCACGGCCGTTTTGGCAGATGTTAAGAAATTTAATGCAAATAGTGGGTAGCTGCATTAAAGGCAATTAGAGTTGATAAATAAAACTGACACTGAAGGGAAGTAAAAACTAATATAAATATCGAATCTTGTTTTATTTTAAATGTTTATATATTTTAGCTTACAATATTTATTAGATTGTAACTAGTTGTGTATTTTATGAGGGCCACAATTTTTTTAGCCTTTGGCTATTAGGTGCTACCCTCTTTAAATAAAGGCTTTACTTACTTACTTACTTACTTACTTACTTACTTTAATTTTGCTGGCTGTTGTTGTTAACTTGGAAAATTAATTAACACGACAACTGATATCAGAACGTGTCAAACTGAACTGAGTGGGCTACCAGTTCGTGACATCTCAGCTTTAAATTAAGACGAAAGTCGAGAAGGGTAGCATTCTGGCAAATTCATCCGACATGGCTGGTTGTTTTTTGTCCGTTCAAGCACTCTTCTTGACCTGCCTCTTCTGGGGAGCTTGGGTAAGCTGCATTGCTAGTGCAAATCAAGGTATGACTAAAGCCAACTGTTAATATATGCACACACCTTATACATTCACCTTCATTATTGTTTTGCTACTAGGTGTAATATTTTATAACCTTCGCTGCCTCCCATTCGAAAAAAAGTTGAAACTCAACAAGGGAGAGGACTACACTTGACTCTGTGCTGAGCAAAATGAACGATTCAGGTCCCATGATTTTTGGCTGAAGTTGTGGATACAGTATACTACTACTTACAATGTCATGCGGTACCCTAAAAGCAAAAACTATAAGCTAGAGAAAAAGCCAAAGCGGGCTAGATTACGATGTAACAGGAACAAAATTCTTGAAGACGGTTTTGACGGCACTGGACAAGTCTTTTTGAAATGACTTTTATGTTTTTATTTAAAAGTCATTATCGTTTAGTTCAAAATGTTTTACCACATACCCCTAAATTTGTTACAACCATAAGGAAAGAAAATGGTTGAGAACTTAAAATAAAACAACTACAACGAATATCTGAAAAGTTCATAACTCAAGCTAAGGGTTAATGAGAGAAAAACACAGACCGGCCGTAGCTATGACAGGAAAAGTTTTGTTAGCACTTTCATGAATCATACTTCTAGTTATTCATACAAACCTTTCTCTTTTGAGGACAAACAATGATTCAACTGAACCTTTCCCACGTAGCAGAAGAAAAAACCCTAAAATTCTTACTTGGAATCAGTATCAGACATTCTTTTGGGTCCAGACTGCACTGAGGCCAACTTTAAACGTAAATTAACAGATTACCAAACTTTGAACAGAATCTATATCTAGTACAATTTTAGACGCGTATTTTTATGCATGATATTCAACTAGGAAAGGGAAAAAAGTGACAAGAAAAATGCAGCTGCGTTGTTGAGCTTACGACACAAACGATCATGTACGGCAACATAGATTAGCCTACAATTTTTGTGCCCACCCAAGGGGGATGGGGGATGTGTTTCTAGAACCACATCAGATGGAAATTAAAAACTGTTTTCAAAAAAAAAAAACCTTGAAATTCGGTGTCGAATTTTAGAAGGGATAGGATGATCGAGATGGTTTAAGGGCCTTATAGGTTCTTTCTCTTATACTGAACTTTAAATCAATAATTAAACGAGTGTGCAACTACATCAATTTGACGTTGCCGTGGAGTCGACAAAGCTTGCCCTTTGAAATGCAACAATTTTCTCACTGCATAAAAGCTTATAAACTAAAAGAAGGCTGAAATTAAGCGACAACAGTTTGACGGTTGTCATGACGTATTTTATTTAAATTCCTAGTTAGTGATCCTTCAAGAAACTTATTAATTAGTTATATCGTTTTGTTACTTACTTCGGTCGGTGGGAAAGCTCCTGTAGGTTTTCTAACTGCTTCGACATAGCAGACTATTATTTCTGGCGAAATTTTTAGGGGAAAATCCCTTTTGTCATTGAAAAACTCGCTTGGATAGGCAAAAGTCTGAAAGTAGAAAAAAAAAAATAACTAAAAGCGTCCAACATATCTCACATCAGTTCTCTCTCCGGTGATCGATAGCTTCTGATCATTCCACAGATAATCCATTTTAGTTCCAAACTTTTTAAATTTCATTGTGGAATATTTAGCTGCTTAACATTCATGGTAACCTGTTCTTGTTGTTGTTGGTGGTGGTGGTGTTATGTTTTTGTCCAGCAAGCAATCTGCAAAGGATCTGTTATTCATTTATAAACAATCACGGTCGAGGAGCGTGGGAGAACGAAAGACTGCATTGATGTTTTTTAACGTGTTCTCTGAATTAATGTGGGTGAAATTAGTAGTGGAGTACTAAAAAAGGCTAAGTGGTTGAGACGCTCTGCGTTCAGTTAATCTTACAAGTGTGGTGGGTGAGGGCGACCTTGAAAGCTGCTGGCAGACCCGGAAAGACCTATTTCTGGCTGCGGTGAAAGACAATATTCCAACCAAGCGATTGAGAGGTCGAAACCATGTGCCCTGGCCCACAGGTGCCGTTATCAATCTTATCAAGAAAAAGGAAACCGTACGCAGGAAACTAAAATTGCACCCGTCGGAGTCACTAAAAGTCAAATTTCAAACTCTGCGTTCACAAGTAAAGCGCGCGATCAGAGAAAGCAGGGACGAGTTCTTTGAGTCTGCTAACATCGAGTTCAAGATCAATCCCAAACGTCTCTGGTCAGTATTAAAAACTCGCTCAAAGTCGCGCAACATACCACAGTGTCTCCATGACGACTGGTAACCTACGTGCAACCGCTGACACCCCAGAAGAAATCGCAGACATTTTATATAACTATTTCACTTCAGTGTTCCCTGTTCTTCAAGAGGACAAAGTAGATAACGGCGCAGGGAAATTCCCTACCGCAGAACCCCCCTTTAGCGATATTGTGTTGCACATCGGCGAAGTTGAGGCTGTCCTAAAATCACTAGACCCAAACAAAGCCACTGGTCCAGATGAGATCCCGGCTAGAATCCTAAAGGAAACCGCCACCACTATTGCTCCATCACTATGCAAGCTGTTCAACAGGTCTCTGGGGAAAGGCTAGATACCGTCTGAGTGGAAATTGGCCAATGTAGTGCCTGTCTATAATAAGGATGAAAAAGATCATGTTGAAAACTATAGGCCTATCTCCCCACTTTGCATTATTTCTAAAGTCCTCGAGCGTTGTGTCTTGAGCCGCATCAATGACCGATTAGAAGATCTGATTGCGGACTGTCAGCACGGGTTTCGGAGTGGACGTTCATGTGTCACAAATCTACTAGAGACCCTAGATTACATCGGTGCTGTTCTTGATAGAGCTGGTCAAGTAGATTGTGTGTATTTAGACACGTCCAAAGCCTTTGTTAAGGTTAGACATGACCTCCTTATGGAAAAACTCTGGGGTTCTGGCTTCGGAGGGAACCTGCTCACATGGTTTCATGCGTATCTCTGTGGCAGGCGCCAATGCGTCAGCGTACTAGGCGCGACAACACGTGACCTACCTGTCACCTCTGGAGTCCCTCAGGGTTCAATACTCGAACCTGCTCTCTTCTTGTTATATGTGAACAACCTTCCAGATTCTATCCTCATAGCAAAGTGGCAATGTTTGCAGATGACACTAAAGTATACAAGGTAGTGATGTCTGAGGATGATGGCGCCGCTCTCCAACAAGATCTGGATAATCTGTCTTCATGGTCCGCTGCCTCTGGCCTAGCCTTCAATGATAAGAAATGCAAGCTTCAGACCATTACGAGGAAGCGCAAGCCCATCTGTACGAGCTACGAGGTTAACGGCAGTACCATCAAGTCCTGTGACGTAGAGCGTGACCTTGGCGTCTCCTTGGACTGTGACTTGACTTGGCACGCTAAGTCTCTCACCAAGCTGCACGTGCAAACAAGTTGTTAGGTTTCGTTAGGAGGAACTCTAGGTTTATTCACAGCACTTCCGTAAGGTGCACATTATACCTCGGGCTAGTTCGTGCTCATCTTGGCTAAGCAACCCAGGTCTGGGCGCCCCAAGGCATTGAACTAATTTCTAAACTCGAAAGTATCCAAAGACGTGCCAAATATCAAATTCATTCTTTGCTTGCCTTTTTTTAACAAATATTTCTTACAAATAAAGACTAATGTCTGTAAACCTACTTCCTGTGTGCTACAGGCACGAGTTACTAGATCTAGTATACTTTTACAAGGCTACGCATAATATGATTCACTTAGATCCGTCTGTTGTTCCCTTCGTGCGCGAATGCGCGCGAAGGACCCGTATATCCGTAACGAGCTCTCAATCTCTTGTGCCTAAAAAATGCAGGACTTCTACCTTTCAGAAATCTTTTTTCATTAGAACCACTAGAATCTGGAACCTGCTTATTACTAGACTTGACCTAGATAATGTTACTTTTGAGAACTTAAATCCGTTCTTTACGGTTATTACTCGCGGGCTCTAGCAATAAACTATGACCCGGACTCTCCAAGGAGCTTCAAAAGTATTTGCTTGAAATGTAACACAGACAGGTTTTTAGACCAAGAAATTAGCTGCTGCATGTGATTTAAATTGCTACTTTTATATCCTATTATTTTTTGGGTCCGTAGTAATTGGCTTTAGCTGTTGCGGTGTCCCTGTCCAAATATTTAAGTTATTATTAGTGTATTGTTACGTTCTTATTACTAGTATTTGCATATCTTCAGTGTCTTTTTTTTTCCTGTATTCTTCAGGGCAAAGCTAATAAAATAAATAAAATAAAATAGACGTTAACATCGCTATTTTTTTTTAGATACCTGTGGCCAAATTCGGTATTTGAAGTTTTTTGATCGGGAGTATGGCCCTTATATGTATCTTCAAGGCCACACCTTTTTAAACCTTTCCATTGGAGCAGGCAAATCTTGCGAAACGGAATGTCTTTACCGGAGAGAGTGCGTGGCAATCAACATTGGTCCAGCAATTAATGATATGAGGGTCTGTGAGTTGTGTAACTCAGATCACATACAGCATCCTAATGATTTAAAACGAAGAGAACGTTGGACGTATAAAGGTACACAGGTATGGCGAATTTCACTGGAATAAATTAATGACGGCAATGGTTGTGAATTATCTTGTGGTAAGCGTTTAACTATTCATAGCCCAATAAGTGAAGTTTTAGCCATGGAAGTGGTGATGACAATGACGATCAAATGATAGTGATGACGACCCTTGGGTGTCAGAGACTTTTCATATGCGGTTTCCTGTTTTGGTTAACTGTTATAGTGACCGCTCGTGTCTTGGGTTCTCTCCCGAAGATTGCACTTGTCCGTCTTCCCTCCAGACAGGGAGAACCAACCAAAACGGACTTTTACAAAGTCTAGCCAAAGATCTGTCGAGCGGCGATGAAGAAGACATAAAATAATGATGAGAATGGTGATAGGGAGCATTGACTACTTGCAGTCTCTCAGGATGGTCGCGCGTGCGAGAATGTTACGTGTGAGCGAACGAGCGAGGCAAACGCGCAAGGGGGAAGACGGAAAAGGAAAAGCCTCTCCCAGTTCCCTTCTCGAGGGTCTGAATGGGGGGTACCTAGATAACACTAAACAATTCATTTTTTGGCTTTTGGCTTTTCTTTGAAACAATATTTTTTTCCCAGATAGAAGCAAAAACGGCTCCAAAAGGCCAATATTATTTTCTTTACTATATCAAGGAGTTTTTGGCCATTTTACTACAATTCCAGATTATTCAGAAGATTTCCGAAAGCTACCGAAGATTTCCGAAGACTAACGAAGAGGTCCGATTATTGTCGAAGATGTCCGAAGAACCCTCCAAACACTTGACAGTATTTCTTCGGAAAAAGTAAACATAAAAAAACTGGCTAATTTACAGCAAACACTCAAAATTATGGGCAAATAACACCAAACATTAAACCCCATTCAGACCCTCCTTCTCGACTGGTTCGCTCTCTCGAGCTCTGCCAAGTCTCGATTCCACAGACTGAAAAGAGAACTGCTCGAAGTCTACAATATAATATTAAAATTTCATGAAGTCTAAATTACGCTTTTATTTTCACTAGAATATTTGTGCCTACAAACCTTGCTTGAACAATGCAAAGTGTTTCCTTGGATATACGGATAAGGGGTTTCTTTGCGAATGCCAGTCTGGTTACACGGGAGAACTCTGCGAAACAGGTAATTATGTGGGCAGCAAACGTAGACATATTCAGTCCTGTTTTCGATTGACTGCGCCACAAAGAATACTTTTCGGGCAGAAACAAACTGGAAATACGTCTACGTCTCTCATACACGGAATCACCAGCTAGTAAACTAGAAACTCACCGTGGCCCATTGCTTCGAGATCCTTCGAGATGGTTAGAAAAACGAAAGTGTATCCTACCCAGAAATAGAGAACAAGGGAATGTTGCTTTATAATAAGAAATAATCAACGTTGTCAAGGTTCGAAAACATCTGGTCCGCAGCAAAGTTTTATCCTGGAAAGCTCCGCCTTGAGGTTCTATTTTCGTTTCGCTTTGAAAATAACATTCCGGCGGGCAAGGCGAAAGGAAAAGCGGTAGCCGCTAAGAGAGAATGTATGAGAACCGCTAAAATTGGGCCTGATCTCAGATTACCTTGAGGGCCAGCTCCTTACCCTTTTATATAATATTTTTTGAGAGAAAAGGTACCCCTCCCTTACACATTACCTTCGATTGACAAATGGTACCCCTTTCAAAATACCTAGTTTAGAACTTTGCATTACTTTTAGCTGCTGTAAATGTACTGTCTTTAAACTGTGAATAAATCACAAAACCAGGAAATTTTCTCGACTTTTTCACAGCGATAAAATCCTTCTGTTAGCCCTTTTAGGTCTTTTTACAGACCAAATTGACACAGATTTCTCTACTCTCTCATATATTTCAACCACACCTGAAGTCTTGAAAAGGTACCCATTTCGCATTTCGGGCGGAGCTTCCCCGTATAGGTCATTGTAGGGGTTCCCCCCGGGATTTATGGTTGGACGAATGCAAGGATAAGACTCATCAGTGTGACGTAAATGCGAACTGTACCAACATTCCTGGCTCATATAACTGCACGTGCCGGCCTGGCTACACAGGAAATGGGAGCATTTGTAATGGTATAATTAGCTACCCAAGCCTTCACTTCATTTTTCTGCACGTAGTTATGTTTTCTTTGCAACTTAATATTTTCTACTTCCTCCAGAAATTGATGAATGCAAGGATGGAAGTCATGATTGTCACATAAATGCCAACTGTACCAACATTCCTGGCTCTTACAACTGCACGTGCAGGCCTGGCTACACAGGCAATGGGAGCATTTGTAAAGGTAAATATTTGCTGGTTAATTTTTATGACTTGTCTTTATAGAGTCGGGGCTTATAGCTCCCTTTGGTAGTACTCTTTTTGATACTCTTTTCTTAGTTACACTTACGTCACTTAAACCAAGATGGTAAACTTATCATAGTGAGCGGCACTCGATCTCAGCGATCTTACGGAAGCAGTCTTGGACACCTTTTTTCAAATTTCTGTGATTCCAAAGTAGGAGGTAGGTTAATTTGTGTTAATGTTTATGTTTTTGTGTAATTCTGGCATTTTGTTTTTTCAGATGTAGATGAATGTGCTGGCAACTTACATGACTGCAACGACACTCATGCAAACTGTACAAACATCCCGGGATCCTATAGCTGTGTTTGCAACCCACCATATTATGCAGATGGGAAAAAGTGCATATTAAATACACGTGAGTGTATTAAGCCAAGAATTATAAAATGATCCGAGTGGCGTTTGGAGGGGAATAGGGGTTGATGGCTTAGTTGGTACTGCGTCTTGGATCCCTGATTGACGTTTAGAGAAGGCAGCAACTACTTTAGGCCCTTTATACGGTGGATTTCCGCTGTCGCGTAATTTTTACGTGCGTACGAGCGGAAACATTTACATTCGCAGATAAAAGAGAGGCTTAAGTAAACGTTGAACCTCGCCAGTTTTTCACGTTTAAGTGCAACACTTCAAACCTTGTCACTATTTTATTTACGCGTGTGAAATTTACGTGCGTATACAAGCACTTGAAAATTACGCGACAGTGGAAATCCACCCTTACTCTTGGTAATTAAATTATTATAATTACTTATGCAGTTGCGAAAAGAAAGGACTGAAAAAAAATTCAGGCTTGCACGGGATTCAAACTCTTCACCTCTCTAACCGATTGAGCAGCAAGCCAACTGGGAGCTGTTTTTTTTTTTTAATAAAAATAGGTCATTCCCTGCGTTTAAACCTTTCACAAAAATAGGTCATCTCCGAATTATCACTTTCAAAATGAGGCTGAGTGCAAAATCTTTCTTGTAAAATTGACTTTTATTTGCATGGGAGTACATTTTCATATCGCACTTAGCCTCGCTTGGAAATAGAGGCTTAGAGCAAGTGTTGGTTCGTAATATACCTGGGAAAGATTACAGGCTTTCTACCTGTAGAGCAGTTTTGGATTAGTGATTGCATATATACAAAAGAAGTGAGGAACCTAAACGCAGAGCTCAAGTTCACTTGGAGGATTCTTGAAGGCAAATAAACCGCAGTATTTAGTAAGAATTGTTGCAAGCATTCGTGATAATAAATTTAACTGTTTGCATATACGAGTCTCTCTATTGGCGAGTAACTGCGGACGTCGTTTTCGTCGCCCTTTTCCCATCAAATCGTCGGCTTTTCAACGAAATCGTCGCATATTAATAGTTGTTTTGCATGGTAACGCTACTGGGGAGCTCGAGTTACGGCGAACGTAGCGTGAAAATTAAAAAAAGCATGCAACAGATTTCACTGATAAACAGAAAAAAAAACGTGACCGTGTAGCGCACTTTTTGGCAAATTTCCTTGCCATTGTCGCACGAATATTAAACGTTGTCAAACTTTATTGAAATGGCAATGCGATCGTACCTTTAGGCCCCGTACAGACGTATCCGGGTACTTTTTAATCCGCAAATTTTTCTTTGCGGATTCAAAAATTTCCACGTCCACACGTATCCGTATTCAATAATCGAATTTGCCCGTACACACTTATCCGGATTGATTCTCAGTTCATCAGCTAATTTGTAAAGCGATCTTCGGCCCAAGCGAAAATTTTATCGCTAGTCTGTTTCACCGATAAAATTGTTTCATCAAGCACTATATTTAACTCGTTTAACTTGTTTACGGCGTCAAATCCGTCCGTCCTATATGGAAAGAAGCTTCAAAATGTCAAACCGTCGTTTGGGATAATTGAAGTGTACAGTAATCATAACTACAATGAGGGACAAACGTGTTGAGACACTTCTATAAAATGGCCCCTTTTTGAACAGTGGACATACCTGTCCCCTTCCCCTGTGTACTTCCACCCCTTCCTCTTAAACCAATGTTGTGTTTTAGACCCTCAAGTCTTTCTTTTACTACAAACAACATTGATTTGGGGGTGGGGGAATTACGGTGTTTAAATAGAATGAAATAAAAATTGTTGCTAAAAGCACCCGTTTTAGACAAGTGTGTCAACTACTTTTGTCCCTGATTGTAGGTTTAACTACACACACGTTATACTAAAAAAGACTTGAAACTGAAGTGCCAGAAGTAAAGAAGCGATAATATTGCGCTGGGCACCGTCTTGAATATTCACAGTAAAGAACTGGGCTGAACGTTACTGTGTAAGAAAATATCCGGATTTAGCGCCCAGTAGTCTAAAATGTCATACGTCTCCATCCCTTAACCCGTCGGGCATCTCTTCCCCACGCCCCCCACGGGTTAGGAGATGGCGACGTGTGACAGTTCAGACTGATCGTCCACACGATTCCGGATTTATTACGTATTTAAAAATTTCCTCTCTGGAGAGCGGATTCAGAAAGTTGCGGATTCGTCTACCGGATTTACCGAATACGTGTGAACGGAAGCCGGACCCGCAAAGAAAAAGTTGCAGATTCAAAAATATCGGGATACGTGTGGACGGTGGCTTAATCTCTAAGATTGTCGTATCATCAAGCGATCGTCGCGAGTTCACCCATAGTGTCTCATATGCCTTTGGCATGAATATCCGTGCACAGCTACGCTGAGTGCCATGATTTGCTAGATCGATGCGCTATTCCGCTCGCGCTCATACCAAAGATATGAACCAAAGATTTCTTTTTTTTTTTTTAAGGTGGTTTGAATGCATCAGTTATTCTTGGCAAAGAGAGGGAGCACTTCGATTTAGCGTGGTTTTTGAAGTCCGTGATCATTAGCTCAGTCCGTAGTAGGTTTGTGAGGTGTTGGCACGCTAAAGAGGACAGCTGGGCGGCGTCTACGTTCCACGGCAACTGTGATGACAAGGGACCCACTGTAACTATCATTCAAGTCGGCAGTTTTATATTTGGAGGATACAGTAACGTATCATGGAAAGATCCTGGTGAGTACAAGAACCAGAAGAAATAGGACTGTTTTTTTGTTTGCTAACAATTAAGAACGATAAAGTAGTACAGCGAGAAAGTAATTCCTAAGCAATCAGAATTGGCCATTTTCATGATGACGTCACTTGATATAACTAACAGAAGTTTGTTTTTCTCTACTTCGTAATTTAAATTAAATACATTTCCTTAAAACAAAAATCAATGATAAAAAAGAAACTTGTCTTCATGTCATCATTATCAAAGAAAATATATATTTCCAAGAATTGTGTTGATTTCTTATGTTTTGATAATGATGACCTAAAACCATCCCCAAGTTACTTTTTTATCGTTGATTTCACTTTTAAATCACAACATCAATAAACAAAATCTTGCAAAATTTGGTTTTGCCCTCTCCTTACAAAAACCCATTAAGGGGCCACTCCACAGGAGAGGACGCCTCTGGTCCCAGCTTAATTTTACTGAATTTTCTTTAAAGTTCTCTAACTATGAACTGCGGACTCTTTTTAATGAAGCAAAGTGTGGCTTAAGAACTACCCCCCGGGTCACGGTAGTCACAAGGATAAAAAGGAAAAATTTTCCATTGTAAAAAGCTAATGTTGTAGTCACACCATGAATATTCATGACCAAAATTACCTTTAAAAGCTGAATGAAACACAGAATCAAGTGCTTCAGCCATACAGAGGTTGAAAAAAAAATGTATTAGATGCATGTGTGATACCGTCTGTCATTTGTATTTTATGGACTTCAAGTAGGTTTCAGGCTCTGTCATAATTCAATAGATCTGAATTCAGTTACGATTCTAGTTTGCATAAATCTCTTTTCGGGACAAAAACCCTGCTCTTTCCTACTAACACTGAGGGATTCCAGTTTAGGGAGAGCTCCCTTTCTGCTCATCATGGAAGTCTGTTACTCTTCTAAGACTGCCTAATTTTCTCCTCCCCCACTAATTTCAAAGTCAATACAGTGTCATTACTGTACTCAGCAAGACCACAAAGGGATGTGTGGCTCAACACTTTTTTAGGAATATTGAAAAATTTATACAAATACAGCAAATTTCAAAAATCAATGCAGTAAAGCATTGGTTGTCTAGGAATGTTTGTATGTCAAGCCGGACTTGCACTCACTATTTTAAACTGAAGTCCGGATAATTGAATATTCCTAGAAGTTAATTTTTTATGAGCGCCTTTAGTAAGGTCAGTAAGAATTGTAAAATGTCGTCATTATCTCCCAGGTGTTTGTTCCTTTGCATATTCAAGTAAAGCCTTTATCTACTCACTGACCAATAACAATGGTTCTGGACACGCTGTTTACAATCCTGTTAAGCTGCGAGTCAAGTCAGATAGGTACAAGAATGCTGTAGTCAGGTGTGATTCATATGGACCAACATTTGGCTGGTTTGATATTTTCATATCAAACAACTCTGCCAGTAACCAGAATTCTTATACTTATTGTGGCCGGAGCTACCCTCTCCCACCAGGGTATTCTTTATCTGGTTCTAACTGTACATTCTATGCTGGAAGCTTCTACTTCACGCCAACAGATATCGAAGTATTCTATGAAACAACCACTTAAAAAAATGTATCCTGAGCTTTTGACTTTGTGCTTTTCATTGCTATTGTTTGTTTGTTTATGACGATATGACTTTAATGTAACGCAATTTGAGCTCCTCGGCATCCTTCGATCCAGTTTTCCCTCTTCTTCACTTCCCATCATCCCTCGCGCCCTTATCCGTCCGCTTCCGCTGGGGACCAAGCCTTCTTCCTTCACTTTAGGGTCTCTGTGGGTAGGTAAGACTGGTAACATTAATCGTAGCACCAGTATAGATAACACGCCAAGAGAAACAGAGTTACAGCTTACTATTATCAGATAACGGTGATAGAAAAACCTCATTGAAGCAATGAGAGAGATGGTTGTTTTTTTATTAGCACTCTGATCCGCCAGCTATAAAATATATAAGGGATAAAATATATAAGGGATTTTAAAAATGTCAGCATTTTTCATTCAGTCCTCTCTTGTATCTGTTATGTTATCACGGCGGGCACAATGCAAAGAACTCAAAAAGCTCTAAGGAAAAACACATCAAAAACTTACAATGTTTTCTGAACGCGCGCAACGAGTGCAAAGTGGGAAAGGATGCACTCACCACTCTATGATTGATTTCAGGGGCGGATCCAGAAAATTTTAATAGGGAGCTTAAGCAACAGCGTTGTTGAGCGACGGACGTCAACCGGAAGTGGAGCTTTTGCATTATTGGGCAGTGGTTTGTTTGAAACTCTAGGATAAATCCTCCTCATAAGAGAAAAGAAACTTAGCAATACAAATTTGTTAGCGTCAAGGCATATAAAAAGGGAGAATGGCTCACTTCCGGTTGACGTGCGTCCCTCAAAAACGTCTTTGCTTAAGCTCCCTAATAACGGGGATCCAACTTGTGCACACTGGTGAAGCCAATAGGGACCTTAAGCAAGGACGACGACGACGGCAGTAAAAACGTCGGTGAAAAAAATGAATTTGCGTTCTTTCAAACTTAATCGCGTCTATTTGGACCCGCTCAATATGTCAAATACAGGTGACTTTTCCTGGAGTTGAATTCTTAAGGATTTTATTCAGGTTCAAAAAGAGGAAGGAAAATTCGTCGTGGTATGTTCACGTCCTCCATAAAAACGGCAAATTAGGAGGTTTCACGTCGTAGTCGCGCAGTGGACGTCAAAGAAATGAACTAAAAAGCGTGATGCACGTGCAGAGCTGTTGTTTTGATCATTAAACCTATTGTTTTTTTAAAGTTGTCGTTGTGGTCGTCGTCGTAGTTGCTTCGGCTCCCTAATAACGTACTTCGTTAGTACATCATTCCAAACCGTCCTTTCTACTGCGAAGAACCTTGCTGTCATGACACGTGATAGTCGTAATATTCTAATCGGTGCCCAGCTTTGAAGCATTCGTCTCTTGAGTTAAATGATAAAATACTTTTGACCAGATTTCGATAATGTTAAGTCATTAAGTCCCCTCCCTCTGGATCCGCCTCTGGGTTTATTTTGGTTTTCCTAGAGGCAAACAACCACTTACCTTAAGTAAGGTTAAGTAAGGTTCTTGAACACCATAAAATACAAGGGGAGACCATCAATGACGCCGAGAAACATCGGCTGTTTTCTCAGCTTTCAGGGGCACCCAACGAGAATATGGTTCAAAACCACCTAATCATTGCATTGTTAAACGATTTTTAGTATTTAAACGGTAGATATAGGCATATTTTTTATCCCCTAATTTTTTTTTATCTGTTCGGATTTCCTAGCTGAACGCTAGTGATCCGAAAATTATACGGGACCACAACTTATCTTTTCGAAAATTTCAGCCAGAAAAAAGGCTCCTGAAAATTCTAGGTGACCTTTTTAGGGTAAAAATCCGTTAAAAATGGGCAATTATACCATTCTTTAGATGTTCGAAAATCCGAGGAGAGACAGGCAAGCAAGGAATTTTACAACAAATGTTGCGAAAATTCTAGATCTCAAATCGTCTTCCGAACACATACTTTTTTCCGAAAATTGACGTTGGGCGCCACTGAGCTTTATAGTAAAATACTGTCCAGCCTTACGGCATGTTAGTTGACTGATAACACTCATTAGTTTAATTCTCTTTTGTTAGCCGATGGTTTTACCAGAAAAGTAAATTTCGTTAGTCGGCATTTTTAATGTCACATCGTGTTTAACTGAAATATGAAACTTTCAGGTCATATTTAAGTTGACGTGAGAACACGGTGTTCGAACAAGAGAAAACCAGGGATAGAAAAAGCAACTGTAAACAGCTTACTTGTATATCACTTCTAGTGTTAGGACCCTTAAGTCTCGAGGCTTAACGAGGCAGCGTGGATAGCTTTACAGGACGTTAGAGACTGTACAGAATGCTTTATTCCAGTGGCGTTATATTCTGCAGCTCGCTTATTCAAGAGAAAAATCCTAGATACTTCTGCCAACGAAAAAGTGAGGGAAATTTGTGCGCTTGATATAGAAATTAGTAGTAAAGAGCAGGGCGAAGGCTCATGAACTGGGCCTGTGTTAATTCCTGGCTAAACTAATTACATTCCTGATCAGTCCTCGGCGTCCTGGTGCTAAGCCACGCTTACTCCTGTTTTATAGAAACCTTTTTAAGAATATCCTAAGAGCAGAGCAAAGCCAAGGCTGAAGTTCAGTCTGAAACATTGTCGATTCCACCAATTTCAACGTGAGGAATATAGAAAAATTGCTATAAAGACTGCTGTACGTGTTTGGCTGAACATTGTGTGCACTGTTGCCTCTCCCGAGGTCACTATTGGCCTCTCAAAACAAGAGGTGAATTAAAAGTCGTCCATACAATGTTTACAAAATGTAATTTAAAAAGCTCTAAGAACGTTTTGAGGCTCAAATTGCCTAAAAAATTAGCAAGTTCAGTCTTGGCTCAGTCTCAGCTCAAAATTAGGCGTTCTTACATGGAGGGTCCCCATTCAATCTCGTCATCTTGACCCAAATATAAAAATGGTGTACCGTATTTATTCGATTAACCGCACTGAGCGCTTATTAAATTTTTGGACCTTGAGAGTGGGCGTTTATTAAATTTTCACCATTTTCAGCAACTGTAGTAATGTTTATTTTGCAACAAAACAACATCAAAGCAAGGTTTCTTTAAACTACTCTGAAGAAAACTCCGTCTTTAAGGAAGTCAGTAAGTGAGTTCTCTAGTGCTGCCTCCTGGATGTCCGATATCGTAAAGCCGGCAAATGGGTTAGGTGCCCGAGAAGCAGATACAGCTTGCTGGATGGATGTTAGGTGGTGGGCGCTTATTCGAGGTTGGGCACTTAATAACTTTTTCTGCCTTTAGGATGGGCGCTTATTCGAGGCGGGCGCCTATTCGAAAAAATACGGTGTGTAAATAGTCAACCGGTGAGCCTCACAGCCGGTTGGGATGCACAGCCAGCACTACCATAAATTTTGTTTCCATTTTATAGTTGGGATTTGCAGTGTCTTTTGCTTCAGCTTTCAGGCTCAGTTCCTGTCTGACAAAAATTAGAATGGAAAAAAGCAAAGAACAAAAATGGAATCTTGTAGCCCCACTGAGCCTAAGAGTTGAAGCTTCGACACTTTGAAACTTGTTCATTACTATACAATATTTCTTAGCTACGTATATTGCACAATGTCGTAGGAAATTTTGTAGGCATTTTAATCAAACGTAATTCAAGGTTTGTAGTTCTCAATAGGCCATTTAATTTCTGAGTTACCTGGGCCTCTGTATAAAAACGAAGTTAAGTGCTCAGTCTTTGATATGGAAATGATTTATGCCAATAACACTCATTTTCACAAGAAAAGTGATGCACTTGGCCTCATTTTGAAAGTGAGGGCTTTTGGAAATCGGAAGTGGCCTATTACTGTATGCAAGAGTCGGTACACACGCAAATATCCTCCAGGTGTAGAGTTTAATAAGGGTTTTCAGCCATGCGGGGAGACATGAACATTCCTTCATTTCGACCACAGGCATTAAATCACGCACGGACCTAGCGCAGACTGCTTGAACGATTGAGGAAATCCAGACCAGGTTGACTCGCGCGTGTGTGCATCAACACTTTTGTGAACGGCTTATATAAAGTGTTATGCCTTTTTATTTTAAACCAAATGACTAAGGAAATACATTCACGCGATGCCCTGCACAAATCCAAAGCGGCTCTTTGGTTGGTTATCGAGTTCAAAGGTATGTTTTTTCCTCATAAAATTAAAAATGGGCATGAAAATGTGCACCTCTGTGATTCCTTGGTTCAGTTTAAAATGATGATGTGGTTGAAGGAATTTATAGTTTCAAAACAATCTGTGGAGCTGCATCGGTGAGAGAGACCAACTAACAAAAAAAACTTTAATCCGTTGAGTTTATAAAATCAAGTAATTATAACCACAGAGAAGACCCTTTAAAAGCTGATGTTTGGAGCAGGGCCCATAAAGTTATCTCCGCCCTGGTTTCGGGCGCTTGCCCACGGCTCTGAGGAAGGGCAAACATTCGAAACAGAGGTGCTCATTGCAGACCAGTCACAGAGCTGCTTTAGAATGGCGAAGGTCAAGTGTTATGAATTATGCTTGTTAATTAGTAACAAAAGGTACTTATGATTAGCTTGCTGCTGTGTTAAACCAGCCTTAAGTATAAAGTAACTTTCGGTTGTAGCTTTTGTTCATTATTGTAGCTTCTTTGCCGTCAGTTGTTTAACCAACTGACTTTGAAACTTTAAAATTAAACTGTGTATGGTAGTCAACCCAAGTTGTCTAGTGTTGTGGAATCCAGTGTAAGTTCAGGCCTTTTCCTTGGCTTCCATCCCCAAGATTTTGATTTGCGACAACAATCTTAATGGTCACTTGAGAAAAGAGCTAAACTATGGGGACACCACCACTAGTTTTTCCGCAAAATGACGTTTGGAAATGACTGCCGAAATTTCCTACCCGCGACAGATCTGAGTAGTGCTTCTGATTGTAATTTTCCCTCGGCACACGACCAATCAGAATTACTACCCAGATCTGGGTATTGGCACCTCATCAGTATGAAATTTCTGCAGTCATTTCTCAGATGTC